CCAATTCTCATTTACTTTAAGACAGTGGTTCTCAGCTTTTTAGAGTCAAGGTACCCCTTGTTAGACTCAAGACACCCCTGGAAAAATGCCAGCTCTATGCTTTTGCTTGGTTTCTTTTTATTGCAGAGAAATAATAAAGCAATTCTTCTGTTGCAAAGAACTCAGAAAACCCACAACAGGGTTTTCAACACTGTGGATTCCTATTTGAAATCTCTGAGTTTATCTTGTGAATTACATGTAGGCGTTTGCACCCCTAACAGTGTTGTGTAGGATTCTGCAGTACTTTGGCAGTATCAGTAGACCTTAAAGTGCAACTGTTATAGCTGCACTTCTTTAAGGTCCATTCACATGACTAGGATAAAGGGTAAGTTAGGCCCATTGCATCTCTCAGTATAAGCACAAATGCACACTACTTATTCACAAAATAAATGGGCCAAAATTACCATTGCTTAACATGGGACTGCTAAAGCAAAGGGGTTTAATTTTACATGCCTCCTAAAATGTCAGGAATCTGCAAAGGTGTCTATGGAAACAGGCACCTGAAAGAGAAATTAGGAACCCACTTAAGAACAGAACACAAGGAGTTGGGAGACTGCAGGAAAGACGTGACTTCTGTAAAAGACCTCTCTGGGGTGGGGAGAGGTACCACAAGATATTAATTCTTGACCTTTTCTGAGAATAAAAAGTTTCTTCTTCCTCTCTTGAGGATGATAAAACATATTCACTCTAGGTCAGATCCTGCTCACCAGAGTTCTTTACAGACTGACTCCTTCCCTGAATACAGAGAGCAGGACTGGGTCTCACCTGAGGACCTTAAAACCCTCACCAGCCCTAGCAGTTGGTGCTTTCTGTCTTCAAAGTGATGCACAGGCATTCATTCACTAACTCTGCAGACGTCCCTTTGACAAAGGAATGGTAAGTACTAGTATCGCTGTCTGCAAATGGGGACAATGAGAAAGAGGTGACCAGCTCCATTGAATCTTCCCTTCTCTGTGCCCTTTACTAAAAAGCTGCATCAGAACCACAAAGATTTCAAGGACTGATCCCTCCCCATTGAGGCACCAGCTACTCAAAAAGAGGTGAGAAGAGGAAGAACCAGACTAAGGCCAACCTCCACATAGGAATGTGTGGGATACCCTCCTACAGAATGGGGAGCAATGCATTTCCTCTATGTTCTGAAGGGGTTTAGGAATTTTTTTACCTTCCACAAGCACAGTATCTTCCGCACTGCTGGAGGGCCAGAACTCCCTGCTATCCTACTCAGGGCTGTGGCTAAAAGCCACAAGATGGAGCCTCTCAACCATGAAAAAAATACTTCTAGAATAAAATATCTCTATGAACTCTTGGAAGTGGTGTAGCCATGATGGTCCAAGAAATATATAAAGAGACAAGGATATTTTTGGTGGTCTTTTATTGTGCTAGGGAGACATTTTAGTGAAGCTTTGGGGCACTAAGTGGACCTGAGATAGAACATTTTGTACCTGAAAGCTTATCTAATATCTTTCCCAACTACACAGCTGGCCTGATAAAAGATATCACCAAAAAATCCTTGCCTACAAACACTGGACACCTCCAGGGAAGCCGCCAGCCTAATCTGCACATCACAGTGCAACACTCTCACAAAAGGACTCTGAGTTACCCAGGAGAATAAACTTCTACTCTCTACCTCCTCTGTGCAAAATGCAGTTTCTTTTCTACCTAGGAGACATTTCACAATCTTTGATTTCTCCTCAGCCTGAAGAAGGTTATACATACCCAAAAGCTTGAAAAGAAAGACCTTTTTTGCTACTGTTTAGTTGGTCTAATAAACAATATCACCTCTGACCCAAAAGCTTTGTGTATGCTTTGACCATGACATTACTCCCTTGCAGCACATCATGGAAAAGTTTTCAGAAGTAGACTGAAACAACACAGCAGTGGGGAACTTTCCTTCCCCATTTCATGCCTTGCAGATGTTCATTAACAGGTTAGTGTTGCTCTAACTCTTGGTTTTGATTCCCTGTTTCTGTTTTTTTGTTACATGTACAGGCTATTTATGTAGTGCAAAGATTGCATCCAAATCAGGTGCCCAGGACTGCTGAATACACAATCATGGTATGCTAGTATTCTAACCAGCAGCACACTCCAGCAAAGTCTCCCCTTAACCATGCAGACTACTCTTGTTAGTAGCTCCCCAGAGCAACCTGGGGTGTTTTCTGTCTATTTTTATAGATTTCATAGATCTTTAGGGTCGGAAGGGACCTCAGTAGATCATCGAGTCTGATCCCCTGCCCTGGGCATGCCTGTCCTGTAAAAACCAGGGCTCAGAATCTTTATCAACTTGATCCAGTGTCCATCTGAGGACTGAAAAGATGACTCATGCACATTTGTGGGCCTCTTGTTGAATATTTAGGCTACACTGAGTAGATCAAATGAATCGTAATTGCTATACTCACCACACTTAGCAAGGTATCGCAAAGCATCTAACTGCCCACTCTCTGCTGCCACAAATAAAGGGGTGATCCCATAAGCATTTGTGGATTCAATCTTGGCTCCCCCTTTGATCAAGATATCAATGATTTCCAGGTCATTCCGAGAGACGGCCTCATGGAGAGCTGTCCAACCCCGATTGCACCGGTGGTTTGTGTCGGCATTGTACTGCACCAGCAGCCTCACAGCTTCTACATTCCTGCGTTCACAGGCTGTCTCAACAAAAGGGAAATCATTTATGACAAACTTTTCAAGAGGTCACTAATTCTGGGCTTCTCAGATCTAGGATGCCACATCTAAGACATTCTAGAGGCCAATGTTCCTAGAATGATAGGCCAATTTCACAAACCCTGGCCATAACATATTGTACATTGTGAATTGACAAAGGCCAGGACTATCCATGGCAATATTTTTCTAAGTAAGCGTATAAATTTCCATGAAGGAATCACCTATTCGTGTTGATTTTCCCCATGGATACAGCTCCCACTCACACTGGCAGGAGTCATAGGCACTGAATAGAGAGTATGAGACTAAACATTGCAGCAGTCACCTACGCGTACCAGTTTTGCATGTTTCAATTCAGGCATACAGCTAAGGTGAGACATTTTTTTCATTGTTACGTTTTCATTAATTTTCCATCATCGTAGTAGAAGGTGGGCAAACAGATTTTGCATCAAGACTGGTAAAATTCGTCAAGTTCTGGGCAGTGCTTCTATATTATATTTTGTGTTTGTTATTCCCTGTTTATTGAAAAAACTCTCTCAAATCAAGCAGACTCTTAAGGGCCGGATTTTTAGAATCACCCATCCTAAGATGGATGGCATCCAAAATTAATGGCCACATCCATGTTTGGATCTATACATTTTGCTTAAAAAAATTAAAATTAGACCACTAGGAAGCATCTATTGACCTAGAAAGCAGTGCAGAGTAGAACCTTACAGACTAACTCGTTCAGAGAAGCATACACTTTCAAAGGTAACAGCCTACTGTGTCAGATACTATCTGATCAAATAGCATATGATAAAGGGGGTTGTTGCCTACGAAAGCTTATGCCTCTTTGAACCAGATAGTTTCTCAGGTGCTACCCTGTCCTGCCTTGTGCCTGACTTCAGATTAACACAGCTAGCTACCTCTCTCTACTCAATGAAGTAGGGATGCACCATAAAATTTAAGAGATCAGAGATTTTTTTCCTTCACCAAACTCTATGAGGCCCTTGAGTTTATTTAATTTTGTTGAATATAGCATACTGTTCACATAACAGCAATGCAGCAGATACATGGTAAGGAAATGTACCGCTTGTGTATATTGTTATAGCCTTTTATGGCACGTTTAACTCTATGCTCACACCATTGGTGAATGACCAATAGCTTCAGACATTTTTGCTGTGATATCCAATGAATACTTAGAATTGTGGCTTCAAGTAATAATAATAAAAAAATATGTATCCACACCAAAACAACAAGGGCCTGTTTTTCAGAAGGGCTAACATCCAAAGTCCACTTAGAGTCAGTGGGAACTCAGCCCCTCTGAAAACAAGGCTTTTTACCTTTATAGAGTGGAGTCTCTCTGGATTTGTTTGCAATATCAGGTTCAGCTCCAGCTTGTAGCAAAGTAAGCAGACAGTCCAGGTGTCCTCTATATGTTGCTATATAGACTGCTGTCTCTTCCTGAAGAGTACGCTGATCAATGGTTCCAGGGTATGCTGTTCAGGAGTCATTGGCCCACAGTTAGTAAAGCATGAAGCACACATGCATCTGCCACTGAAAGCAACTGTTACTAATCATTGTGGGACAGGTATTATGATAAATGTAAAACATTCAATGGTAGGAAATTACTCAGCACCTGGATTTCAAAGTGAAAAACATATCCAAGGTTCATTTAAACACTCAGAACCTCTCTGATAAGAATCATTTTTTAAAAACTGAGGCTTATAGTGTAGTTCTAGTCACAAGGTTAAGCTCCCCAATTCCACATTACAGCTAGGAGCAGGCATATTATGCAAACAGCACCTCAGTTGCCAGCAGGGGACTGAGAAGGCACTCACACAGGGATCAGGAGGGTGCAAATTGTATTTGCCAGTGCTGGCAGTGCCTTGTTAGATAAATTAGAAATAAAACTGACAGGAATCGGGGTACAGGTCAGGCAGTGTTAGAGCCTTTCATTTATGGACAGTAAGTAGTATGCCTCCTGCTTTTGTATCTTAGCACACAGTGGATACGTCTACATGAGATGTTTACTGCAGAGTTGACTGATTAGCTTTTCAGTAAACATTTCAGCATCTACACATGTGCCCCTATTAGGCTGCAGGAAACTAATAAACTACAAGTACTACCCTGCTGTGGTGTTTTTTCATGCACAGCAGTACACGTGTAGATGCTGACCCAGCTGACTGGGGCATGAGGGTGCTTCAGTGGAGGGGGAGTTGCCTACCAGCTAGCCCCCCACTGAAGCACCCTTGTGCCCCAGCCAGCCCCTCCACAGCACATTGAGCCTGGTAAGAGCAGCCCCAGGCTGGCAGGCTGACCCCCCAAATCTGCTGCCAACAGAGGCTGCCCTGCCCTGGCTTACTGTACTCCAGCCCAGGCACACGTATAAATGGTGCCCAGGAGTTTCCCAGGAGCAATGCATTCCAGAGCAATAAGTTCTAGAGTTTATTGCTGTACATGAATGACACATGTAGATGCACCAGTGTTTCCATTTGGATGTTGTAATTCAGCTTGGCTGGAAAACAAGAACTCTGTTTCTCAGAATATGTTGATTTTGAAATTCATTTTTGTGACAAATAAATTAGATCAAGCCCCCAAAATAGCCAAGAGCCCAATGAGTGTGGCAACTTCCCAGAATGCAGGAGACTCAGATTCAAGTCCCTGCTCTGATGCTGGCACAGAAAGTACTTGAACTTCAATCTACCTCACCTCAGAGGAGCATCCTAACTACAAGACTACTAGTGATTGGACTTCACTCTCTCTCCAAATATTCCATCCTGAGCTTCAGAAACTCTTCCAATGGACTAATGGAAAAAAAGAGTCTTTTGAAATATTCCTGACCAGGCCTAATGGCAATGCCCAAACCTGTACATTTTATTTGTGAGGACCCCATAAGCCTTCAAAAGCCCAGACAATTTGGGGTTTTTCATAAATAAAGTAGGCTAAGAACATGCTGTGAATTTACTTTAAAACAGGTTAAAATAAAAGAAGGTGACCAGTAAATTAGATTAAAATGTTTAAAAAGTCATTTGTCTCTAGCCACTGGCAATTTAAAAAGCTACTAAGCAGCAGCAGTTCAGTGGGAATTTGGAATCAGCACTCTGCAAATAATCCACCATCAGGCTTTAACTAATCAATGCCAAATTGTCCATTGGTATTCACTGGTGTAGCTCCATTGACTTCTGTGGAATTATGCTGATTTATACCAGCCAAGATCTAGTCTCTTATATTTTACTCTAAAAAACACAGCTATATGGGGCAAGCCAATATCAACCCAGAAAAGCAAGATGTCATTCAACTCTTAAGAGTTTTATATTATTTTTCATAGGTTTTAACTTACTTATTCAACTCAAGATTCCTCCAAAGTCAAACAGCCCATTGGGCTAGTATGGTGAAGACAAACTAGTTCCTATACCCAATGACACGTAAGGGAGTGATATGGTCAGCATCACATCTGGACACCTTTAACTCCACTGCCCAAATGACCAGGTACCCATTTACAGCTGTGCCAACTGATGGCAGCCTAGAGAAGGTCTTGAATTCACACCTCCCGAACCCTGAAGAGACATCTTAACTAATCTGCCACTGTACAGCTGCACTTATTCATATAGGCTGAAATGAATGCACCTGTACAAAGCTTGAATAAAGGCATGTCTTTGGATGAGGGCTGGAGAGATTATATTTCCTGCTTTTTGGCCAATCTTTTTTGTTCGTCTCCCATGTTTAATTGTTAAAAAAGCTTACTAACCTTTTTGCAACAGTTTCAGGCATCCTACTTCACCATAGTAGGCTGCTTCATGCAGGGGTAACCATCCATCTTTGTTAGGTTCAGAAAGGTTTTTTCCTGATTTCATCATGTTAAGCACAGCATTTTCATCTCCGTCCTTGATTGCTACTGCTACTGGATCTGGCTCTCTTTAAAACAATGTTGAAAATTTTTTTACATCATACAAAGCTCATTGTAGTAGTATTAGCAATTCCTATCCAATAAAAACTGGGGAAACCCCACAACCTAACTACACTACCTAAAACTGTCAAGATGTGTTCTGACATGGGGCAAAATGATAGCAATGGAAATTAGCTCTAGACTACTGTAGAACAGTGTTTCTCAACCTGTGGATCGTGACCCAAAAGTGGGCCACAAGAATATATGAAAGGGTCATGAATAAACTTTAAAAATGTATCAGCAGACTTTAAAAATGGATTCTCCTTTAAAGAAGAAAAATATGGAGGTTCAGTCTGCAAGGGGCCGCTTAGGTCCCCTACTTCCCTGCCCCCCATGCCACACATCCACCCCCTACCCACACATTAGGGGGCTGGGAGTGGGGGCAGGGGGCACTGGGTCAGGAGTGAGGGGCACTGGGTTAGGACTGGTCATTGATATTTACAAATGGGTCCTGGTACAAAAAAGGTTGAGAATCACTGCTCTATACAATATTATACCTTGACTTCAGCAGGGCTTTTGATCCAGTGTCCCACAACATTCTTGCAAAGAAGCTGATGAAGTACGGGTTGGATGAATGGACTTTGAGGTGGACAGAAAACAGACTGAACTGTCAGGCTCAGAGGGTAGTTGGCAGCTGGTGTCAAGTAGAGTGCCCTAGGGGCTGATTCTGGGGCTGGTTTTATTCAATATCTTCATTAAGACCTGAAAGATGGGATGGAGTGCACCCTCAGCAAATTTGCAGATAATACCAACCTTGGGAGAATAGTAAACATACTGGAGGGTAGAGCTAGGATTCAAAGATCTTGACAAATTGGAGGATTGGACCAAAAGAAATCTCATGAGGTTCAATAAAGACAAATGCAAAGTCTTGCACTTAGGACGGGACAATCCTATGCACTGGTACAGGCTGAGGGCTGACTGGCTAAGCAGCAGCTCTGCATAAAAGGACTTGGGAGTTACAGGAGACAATAAGCTGAATATGAGCCAACAGTGTGCCCTTGCTGCAAAGAAAGCTAATGGCATACTGGGCTGCATTAGGAGGAGCGTTGCCAGGAGATCAAGGGAAGTGATTCTTCCCCTCTATTTAGAACTGGTGAGATCACATCAGGAGTACTATGTCCAGTTTTGGGACCCCAACTACAGAAAAGATGTAGACAAATTGGAGAGAGTCCAATGGAGGATAATAAAAATGGTTAGGGGGCTGGGGCACGTGACTTCTGAGAAGAGGCTGAGGGAACTGGGCTGAGAGGAGGTTTTAGCAGCAGCCTTCAACAACCTGAAGGGGGGTTCCAAAGAGGATGGAGATAGACTGTTCTCAGTGGTCAAGCTGAGGGAGATAGGGGCACAGGTGGTCTTCTCATCGGTCCTTCCAGTTAGTGGACGTGGAATACACCATGAGACCTGCATCTGGGATGTCAACTTGCGGCTTCCGGAATGGTGTCTCAAAGTGGGCTTCGGCTTTCTGGACCACAACCCATACTTCAGAACAACAGACATGCTTGGGTGGGATGGGCTTCACCTCTCCCTCAAAGGCAAGTGTGTGTTCTCTTTCAGGTTATCTGATCTCCTCCGGCGGGCTTTAAACTAGGGACGTAGGGGGAGAGGGAGGAAGAGGACTGAGGGAGGCACGGAACACCGAACCAAGAGCGACACCCGCAAGAACAGCCCAGCCAAGACAGGCAATGAGCACAAGATATACCCAGGTAAGAGACAGGGGCCCGGATAGTCCTGGGATTAAGAAGACAGTGCATACACCCTCAGGAGGATTTAAATGCCTCTACACTAATGCTCGTAGTGTGGGGAACAAGCAGGAGGAACTTGCCCTCCTGCTAGCTAACACAAACCCAGACATGGTGAGGCTCACTGAAACTTGGTGGGATCCAATGCATGACTGGGGATCTTGGAGTCACTATTGATTCCAAAATGAACATGGGCTGGCAGTGTGAGGACACGGTCAGGAAGGCTAACTGCACCTTGTCATGCATCCACAGATGTATCTCGAGCAGGTCCAAGGAGGTGATCCTCCCCCTCTATGCAGCACTGGTCAGGCCGCAGTTGGAGTACTGTGTCCAGTTCTGGGTGCCACACTTCAAGAGGGATGTGGCCAGCATGGAGAGGGTCCAGAGGAGGGCCACTCACATGATCAGGGGGCAGCAGGGTAGGCCCTACGAGGAGAGGCTACAGGAACTGAACCCATTCAGCCTCTACAAGAGAAGGCTGAGAGGGGATCTGGTGGCTGCCTATAAACTGGCCAAGGGGAACCAGCAGGCAATGGGAGAGTCCCTGTTCCCCTGAGCACTACCGGGAGTAACAAGGAATAATGGCCATAAGTTGACTGAGAGTAGATTCAGGCTAGACATCAGCAGACACTACTTCACAGTCAGGGCGGCTAGGATCTGGAACCAACTTGCAAGGGAGGTGGTGCTCACTTCTACCCTGGGGGTCTTCAAAAGGAGGCTAGAAAATCACCTCGCCGGGGTCGTTTGACCCCAGCACTCTTTCCTGCCGTGGCAGGGGGTTGGACTTGATGATCTGCTCAGGTCCCTTCCGACAGTCTCTCAGTCCTTTGAGTAAGGAGTAGTTGCATAATTAGAGGATATGAGGAACTGCAACTTTCAGTGGCTGTAGTGTGAGCTAGATGGAATTAGCTGTTACATTATGCAGAGGCTCATGTTATATAATGCTCAAACACTCAATGACACAAACCTCTGCCAGACTTCTTTATTCTGAGTGATTTAGGAACAATGACTGTTACCAGGAGTAAAAACTCAGAAAAATGCTGTAAGAGAAGGGACAGAGGTGGAAAAGCCTCTCAAGAATTGAAAATCTCTAGAAATGTAAAGGATAACTGGAAAAGCTCCAAACAGCACTTCACACTTTATCTGCAAGCAAGGGGTTCTTGCCCAAAGGTAGGCAGACAGAAGGTAGCCATATTTTTAACTATCACTGGTCCTATAACCTTTGATATTTGTAATAGCTAAGGAAGCAGCCTATGAAACAGAAGTTCGGGTGGTGCGCTCCATGAAAAAGGAAACATAACAGAAAGAAGTTTTTTATTCCAGTGGACAAAAAAGAAACCAAGAAAACATGGAAGCTGTAAATGATGTAAGGCTGAGGAGCCGATCTAGCTCTTTTGTGCAGCTGGGTCCCTGATGAGGGACCAGACTGAGATTAGGATCCAAGGCAAAAGACTCAGAGGGAGCCTGCTGGAATCCTTGATCCTTGAAAAGCAACTAAAATTTTTCAAACAAATAAAATCATTCAGTCCAGACTGAAGCTCATGAAGACCGCCTATGTCTCTGAAGACATTATAATGAATCCAATGTTCTATAAGAGAAGAGATTTGAGGCAGAAAAATATGTAGAGCTCAAGGGTGGAGTCCACCAAGTGTGGTACATGAAGCTGCACAGACTGTGGCAATCAACACAAGCCAAAACAATGCCTGGAGTTTGGAAAAAAGCTGCAATGGACTACATCATTTCTCATAGTTACACCGTTTGCTAACGCTGGGAGAGTACGCACAGCATGGTCAAAGAGGATGACATAACACCAGTGGGCCAGAGAAATTCTTCATAGGATCAATGGACCATGCTGCATCAGTTCCAAAAGGACATTTATTAATTTTAAACTGGATGCAGGCCACAAGCCAATTTGATGCCAGAAACAAGTGTTATCAATCCTGAAGGAAAAGGCTTTGGGCAGTTTAGGGCTTACAATGATGACCTTAGACACATACTTAATACACACACTTACCATTTGTGATTATTTTATTACATGCTTAAGGGGAACGTGAATTAGAGGAATAAACAAAACATTCTAAAAGAAACAAGATACCAGGGAAATAAGTTCCCATTATTGGATAGCGAACATGTCAAGGCTTTGGTCTCAGTAAAAAGAAACCTCATTGGCAGGGCCTGAGTTCAAAAAATTAAAAAAGCATTTGAAGTTTTCCAAGGGGTAGGAAAGCTCTCAGCAGAGACAGTGTAGCTGAAAAAGCCCAACTGTCTTAGACTCTGTTCCCTTTATCTCCTTCAAACTGAATACAAATGCAGGAAAGTTTTGAGGGCTGCAGGTGTTCTTTTTAGAGCATTTAACAAAAATCCAGTGAAAGAAGTGCAGGGCTAAATTACAGGCATGTCAGTTTGATAATGTTCATCCAGACCCAGATGAATGATGACAGTGATGCCAGAAACACTACTGAGAATCAGATCCTGAAGAAGGTAATAAAAATTACTAAACACAGATTAACAAGACCAGCCTATTTCTAGCCCCTATTTTCAATTTAAGGAGGGGTTCTCAGGACCAGCCAGGATTTTGTTGAAAATCAGTGGGAACAGAAAAAAGATTTTAAACATGAAGCTCATTTAGGAATGAAGAAATCTTAAAGAAGGGCCAGAGGAATTTTATACAATCCTCAGTATAAAATATAGGCCAAATCCAGTGACAAAGCCCATACTAGTGGCAAAGGAAAAATTAGATCACTGGATCAAAATAGACATATTTTTGTTTACATAGTTGGAAAAAAGTTCTTGTCTTAGATTACTATTCTCAGGACTTTGAGGTAGCCTTATTAAAAGATATTAGAGCTAAACAAGTGATTGTGCATATCACATCTATTTTTGTTAGATATGCTATACTGGACACAATAATGTTTAAGGATCACAGTTTAGAGGGCATGAATTTTACAGTGAAATAACACAAGATCCCATTATCCTATATAAAGAGTTGAAGGAAAATGGTATAAAAATAATGAAATGTCTTTTAAAAAAAGGTGTGGAAACAGGCCTTCATCCACACTGTATGCTGTCAAGTTGCAGAATAGCATCATGAAGCAGGGGCTGTCACCTATTGACATTTTGTTTGACACAAAAATGAAAACAAAAATGCCTGAACTATTAAAAGCAGATGGGGATTTGCTGACATTGTAAGAGACAGATAAGACAAAATAAAAAATGTTATGTGAGCTGAGGTCCTGGGACCTGCCACCACTTCATGAACATGATACTATGAATATGATGAGAAATGATGGTTGCACACAGCAGTAGAGTCACAAGAGATTCCCCCACAGTCATGTGAGATCTTTTCCAGGATCAAGACACAGTAATAGATGTAGCTACCCTGGGATAGATAGACTACCAGTCTATTCCTCATCCTGATGTACCTTATAGAAACTGTTGTAAGTAAATGTGTCCAGGCCCTTCCAAATACACATGTATTCAAGTCACATTACTGCTAACAGAGACAGAAAAAGGTAGTTGTTTATCATCATCATCATCATCATCATCACAGCACTCTGGAATCCTCATCCTGAATGGGGACCCCACTATGCTAAGTGCTGTAGAAACATGAAACAGAAATAGCACCCTAATGGATTAAAATTTAAGCATAAGGCACTTACAGATGGATACATATGGATGGAGGAGCACAAGAAGACCATATTGAGAGGAAAAGATTTCAAAGGGTCATTGGTGTTACTAGCATATGGCTCACAGGTCAAGGGGTGGTGAGCAAGTGCTAATTCTGAGCACTTCGATAAAAAGAAGTCGTCAGACACCTGGGTGAAAGCACTTTTAGTTGAGTGTAACAGCAGGCAGACTGGAGAGAGTCTGGGGTGGAATGGGAGGAGAGGAACCCCAGATAGTCCAATAAGCTACAGATAAAAGCAAGAGGAGATGAGGGTTGGGTTGTCTCAGCTGGCAAAAAGCCTGTTTGCACTGTGAGAAGAGTTAGAAGAAAATTTAGGTTGCTCCTTTCTACATCAGGGACAGAAATGCTGGCCTGTACTCTCTGCCCACCTCCTGCCTGGAGACATTGGGGCTGCATCTACGTGCCCAGGCAGAGTGCCTTGGACCACCACTGTGTGGGCATTACAGTGACATGCAAGGAGCAGGCAGGTGTTTGCGCACACATCACTTTCACAGGAGAATGGGCATAGTTCGGGCCAGTTTCTCTCTTTCCTTTTACCTGTCTGATCTTCTGTATCAATCAGTTGTTCCTGGTAACAGCTATATTCAGTCAAGCATATTTACAGTCTTGTAAATATTTACAAGGAAGAAATCTAGCCAGCAGGGACAAAGCCAGAAATGACAGCTGCTACCTTTGGGCGGGTGAGAGAGACACGGGAGACCAGACTCCAGAGAGAAACACAACAGCCCCTCTTAAAAGCCTGGAATGGGAGGTGTACCCTTGAGGCAGAGAGCCAAGGAGTCTGGCAGTATCTTGAAGGCATTTACCAAAGACACTCACAAGGATCAGAGTTTTTAACTTGGATCTGATGCCCCTTGACATGTTTATTTTCCTGGTTTCCTGACTTGAACTATGAACTTAACACAAATGCAGTTTAAAAATAACACCAGCCTTATTCATTTACTATTCTGACATGAAAGCCAGCATGCATATAAATAAATCACAGCCTAAACATCCCTTTTCCTCTACCCCCTGTCATATCAGTGCTGTCAAAGTTCACAACAGACCATGGACATGTGTACTGGGGGAGTGATGGGGGCTTAAGAGGCAGCTCTCCCATGAGTGTGTGGGGGTTAGCGAGAATCGGGGGAAGGACAGGCAGGTAGGCTATCAACAAGATGCTATGTCATACATAATGTGGTGACTCTCCCTTCGCTATCACGCCCACCCAAAAGTCTCCACCTGGATAGGGAGGGCGAGTAAAAAACAAGACTTACTTTGAGCAAGAGAGAGAGGGAGGGAGACACTTACACAGGCTGGGATGAGGTGAACAGGCTGCCGTCGTATCTCCGTCTAACTCCCCACGATGCGCCCAAGCTGGAAGGGTGACCACGGCCTCCGGACTGTGCTGCCAACCTGGTGTGATGATAGCATGAATGAAACAAAGAGAAATACTCTGAATAGGAGAAACAGGTCATGTTCAGGCCCCTTCAAGACAGAGGCTGAGACACAGAAGGAGAGAGAAAGACAGAGCCTGCTGCTGGGGCTTTGAATGAAAGCAGATGGCCACGGCTTGCTCTGTGCTGGACTCAGCTGCTCTCTCAGCTCTAGATTATTTTTGGCCCTCCTAAGATACGTCAGGGGATTCAAATGACCATATAAGACAACAAGGAGGTTGCTCCCCTACCACACAGGAAGCAGATATGGGGCTAGATGACATTCTTCACCTCGAGAAAAAAGAGGATTTGAGAGTACAGTCACAAGAACAGGGGTTAAAATAGTGCCCTGAGCACTGTGCATTCAAGAACAGTCCTCATGCTGGGCTCCAAAGTACCAAGGACACCAGAGGGTCATAGACCAACCATGACCTACCCTTAGGTTTCCCCTTGTGGGAGTCCGAACCCTCTGGGCAGGGACAGCAGAGAGCCAGTCCATAGGTAAAGCAGCTAGTGCTGCACGTTGCTAAACCAGCAAGTGGCAAGGGACCTTTCTGAAATATAAGGCCAAAGCTGGCAAACATGACCATATTCTGCAACATATCAGTCCCTGCTCACAGACTATGCCAAGCAGTGTGCCAAGGCCTCACACCAGATCTTATGTGAGGCTCCACAGAAGAACACTTCCCCACATCCAGGCACCACCACAGGTGTTATTGGTTATGAACAATTTACTATGGATTTAAAAGGGGAAATTTATCATGCACCAGCTGCTTCATGGTAACTACCCATGTGTGTACCCATAGTAAGTGGAAACTCCACTGCAGCAGCTTAATTGTTAATGCAGGTGAGGTACTAAGGTTTAGCTTGCATTCACCATGGGTTCAGAGCATGCTCATGGGCAGTTGCCAAACAGCAGTTGACAGACAGTACAGTCTCAACCCTTTTACCCTGCAGTAATTTGTTTGTATGTTTACATGATCTAATGATAGCAGGTAAGAACCTGGCACCATCAAAGTCAAGAGGATATTTGCCATTGACTTTAGGAGGATCAGAATTTCACTCTGTCTCACTGCCAGCAAGCTATCTGGGATTTGAACAGCCAATGAAAATCAAACAATAATAAGCGGGACCTCCTAAAATTAAAGTTAGAGTAATTGCCCATCAAAAACTTGTTTTAGAGGATTTGAAATGGACTGTTTGGGGGGTTTCTGGTAATGTTAAAAAATAATTTTCCCCATTTTTTATATTTTCCAATAAAAAAAATAAAAATGCTTAAAAAATTACAAGAACTTGTACACCAAAGCTTGGGCACTGTTTCCAAACACAAAATTGTATGTGGGGGGGATGTGCCAACCAAAGGTGGCATAGAGGCCTGTGGAAGTTATCTTCATGTACAGGTCAGAGTTTGAAGTTAAGCAATCATATGAAATAAAATTTGCAGTACCTAAGGTCATGTGCCTTAGGTGCAAGGTAGAGATACCTGCAGTTGGCTCTGAGCACACTAACTTCAGCACAGGAAGCATTATAAATCTGAGTTTAATAGTGCCATGGTTAATTAGCTAAATTTATCATCATAGTTAATTAGCCTGACTGATTGAGGTATTGCACTTATGTGGTTATGCTGCTTCAGATCTAAAACTTGTGTGTGCAAATGCTAGCTCAGGTGTCTGCTGGTGCTGTCTTGCACCCTAAAGCCATGACCTAGAACTTGTCTATGGCACTGTTTTAGATACATATTTTGTCTGATCTGTGATTTCTTTTGCACAGGGAAAACATAAAGAATATTCTGCTTTCCACATGGACTTTTTTCTTTAAAATTCTGCATGCTTCACCTGAATATCATAGTCTTTGGAACTTAAGATGCACTTTTAAAACAAAATTTCTTCTAAAAATGGCCTGTGTGATAAGTCTGAGTTTAAAAAAAGGTAAAAGGTTTTTTATGCACCATAGTGATTGTATCCTTGTAAACACATCTTTATTTGAGGGTTCATTTTTTTCTTAAGTTGATGATCAGAATATTTAGGTGTATTTTAAGTTCCAGACTATCTTACATTTGAAGAAATATTGTGGCCCTAATTCAGGAAAGTGCCACATTCCTTGGGGGGCTCTGGGACTGCTTCATTGAGTAAGAGTTGTTTTGGTGCTGGACTGGCCCATTTTTTCACACATATGCAACTTTTAGCAGACAGTCTGGCCTAGATTCCTATTTAATTAACAATTGTGTAATTCCAAAGTAATGTCAATGACTTCAGTGGAGCCATCTCAGTTTTAAACCAATAAAACTAAGATCAGAATCTAACCATTGTAAGCTAATAAATATGTTTCAAGCCTGTTTTATAAAACTATTTGAGAAGAATGTTTTCCTTTTTCATCTGGTTTTTTTGCCCTCAGTGTGCTCTCCGTGAAGACCCCATGTCATTCACTCACCTGTGCCAAGGGTAAAGCTGTTGTGGTGGATTATGAGGGCAGGGCCGATTGGCTATGGTTGGCTCTCCCGGGGCTGTCATGACCGATTTCTGATGACTCTGGGCAGCTGACTGACCTGAGGGATCCTCTTCCAAGCTCCGTTGTATGGCCAGTTGAATAAGATCGTCTTCGCTCATGCTACTGTACAGACTGTACTCCTCAGAACCTATTATTTCTCTCTGGGTCTTTGCTGTGGTTGTAATCTCCGTGGCCATGCTCTGCTCACCTATACCATAGGATAGGAACAAAGTATACAATAAAAATCTGGACACTAAACAAATGAAGTTCAGTTACGCTGTATGCTGGGTCAGCTTTGTTCCTTCATGTTTATTGGGCAGGATTCTTAACCCAGGAGAAAACATTTTGGGGAATGCACTAATAGAATGAACATTGCAACTTAATGGAATTGGATTTCTTTCTTTCCTTTTTCGTTAGACTACTTGCAGTTCAACTTTGTGGCAGCAGCTGACATGTCTCTTGATATATAGGGAGGAAGTTACAAAGAAGTGAAGCATAAGGCAGGTTTTCCTTTGTTTATTTAGAGTTATACTACTTCAGGTAAAAAAAAAAGCAGAGGACATCACCAAGGGATTAAGGGGACACCGTTTACAAATGAATCTTATTTAAAATAACAACATGTCTCCGTCTGTGTTATTCATTGGCCACTGATTACTGAAGATGAAAAAATGTGGAAGTTGCTGGGCCAGACCGCCAGCTGATGTAAAGCAGCATAGCTTTGTTGAATTGACCTGCTCTATACTTCTCACCATTTATTCTCTGAAATCACTTTCTGTTTTACTTGGCTCCAACAGCCAAAAGAGACTAATGGGTTGTTGTACGGTTCTTCCTCCCTTCCCCTTCCATAGTACAAAGCAGAAGGTCATGAACTTAAGGACATAGAACAAGAGGTTCTGCTAATAGCTGGAGCCTTATCAATTGGAAACCACAGAGAAGGAAACATAATTCTGGTCAGCCGTGTCCAAGAAAGATGAATTCAAATGGGAGCAGGTGCAGAGAAAGGCTGCTAGGATGAGCATAGGAGTGGAGAGCCCATATTATGAAGGGAGAGTGAAAGAGAGTGGGTGTCTAGCTTAGCAAAATGAAGGCTGATTACACTGTATAATGTGATACCAGGGGTTAAACACTCTGGAGGGAAAAGCAACATTTAAACTAAGGGACAATATTGACACAACAAATGGGTTTAAACTGGGTTTACAGTTAGGCTGGAAATCAGAAGGTGTCTGACTGCCTGAACAGTGAGATTCTGGGACAGTCTTCCAACAGGAATAGCACAGCAAACCACCCAATTTGATTTTTAAGATGCAGCTTAATGAGTTTATGAACGAGGTAATACGACATGGTTGCCTGTAGTAACAGGGGACTGGACAAGTTGACCCAGCAGGTCCCTTCTGACTGGAAATTTTCTAACAAAACAAAAGTTTTGTTGAAAAATGTTGGTACGTTGACCTCCAAATATTTCATTTACAACATCTCAGGTTCAGTGCACATTTGCTATCTCCAACATAGGGTTCACTAAGTGGATTGCTAGTGCGTGTGCCTGCAAGTAGGGACACTGGAAGATGGAAGACCCAGGCTCTGAGCCAGGCATGCCTTTGGCCACTGTCCTGGACTCTGGAAAGTCCCTGAAGGTGGGTAATGTTGCTATTACTAAGGAAATTGAGAAGAACGGCCTTTTCACTCTGCAGATGTGGCATCCAGGCTGCTTCTAGTGTGCTGAACTGATACAACATTTCCAAAAATATTGCATTTTCTGCAAACCCAAACTGATTTTCAGCCAGTTCTACATCTTGCCCAGTGTCCTAGCTTTCCATGACTGCCTGACTTCTGCAAGGGCCATATTCCTGTTGACCACCCATCACTGGCCTGTAGTAAATTCCCTGCTTCCAGGGCTATACAGACACAAGATTCAATTCTCTGCTGTGCCACACCTGTGTGACCTTAAACAAAGCTGGTACAAAATGCTACCAAACCAGAAAGACCATGTTTTATGTGAAGGTTGATCCATGTATCAACTACCTAAGGTGCAGAGTAGTGAACACAGCCTAAGTTTATGAATTTAATCTACTTGGATATCTGCTGTCTGGGTTGGGAGCGTGCTTCTGCTCCCATCTCCTGCATCCCTGAACTCCCACCATGCCTAAGCTCCAGTTGCGTCTCCCTTAGGCCCAGGGAAGCAGAATGAATCATGCATTGTGGACAGTATTCCCTTTCCACGGAACAGTCATTAAGAGAGGAATGAGCCTGACTCCTCACTAACTCAATCTTTGGGAGGCATGAAGTGGTATTGGACTCAAAAGAAGCCATCCTAAAGCAAGTCAAATGCTACCCTCACAAGATGCTTGGAAGCAGCTTACAGGGAGTGAGAAAGAGGAAACTGCTAAGAGGAAGTAATGCACAAGGCTACAAAAGCAAAGAGTACGTGACTACTGCTACAGCCAGTGGTAATAGATTTCTTGGTAACTGGGCACATCTACGCGAGTCGCTTTACTGTGCAATAGAGCTAATTACTGCACAGTAAGAGCCTGCATCTACACATGCAGACACTTACCGGGTGCATCTACACGTGATACTACATCACTGTAGCAACACGCTACTGCAACGTAGCATTGCTGAGCACAAACCATGATGCTGCAGCTATGTCGCTGTAGCAACATGCTCCCTCGTTATAATACATTGCTATGGCAACATAGCAGCTAAAAATAACTGCACTGCCAGCACAGCACAGTACGGGCTGTTACTGCACCATCATTTAGTACTTCCAAAAGAAAGTACTAAATGATGGTGCAGTAACAACAGTGCCATAGGGGCATGTGTAGACATGCAAATGCAAGTAGCAGATTTACTCGTGATTAGTAAATGCACAGTAGTGCACATATAGATACCTGACCAAGAGCAAACTTGCTCCCGATCAGCTGGGTAACAGGAGGTAGGAGACTGCTCCCTGTCCCCAGGAGCTGCCTGCAGACTGGGCAGGGACAATATCCCCATGTCCCAGCAGCAGAAAGCTCCAGCCCCCACTCCTCGATCGCAGAGCAGGGGCTGGGGAGATTTTTCCCAGCCACGGCTCCATGATCATGGAGAGCCTGTTCCCTGCCCAGTTCTGTGATTGTGGAGCTGGGCAGGGAACTGTCCCAGACAGATGCAGCTCCCAGCCCCATACCCTGATTGGGCAATCAAGGTGTGGGGTTTGGAAAGAGCTGCAGGGGAGGGGCATATCCCAGCCCCCTGGCCTGAGCTGTCACAGCAATGAGCCCCTGGCTCTTTCCAAGTCCCCTGCCCCCACAATCAGGGAGCCAGAGCCAGGAGCTCCCTGCTGCCAGGCAGGGGAACATTGTCCCTGCCTGGGCTCTGGTGGCAGAGCTCACCCCAGCCCCTTGGGGGCAGGGAGCAATCTCCCAGCCCCTGCAAGGAAACAACTGTCTCCTGGACTTGTGCCCCCTTCCTGCTTCTAGCCTAGGACCCAGGGGGCCAGTGCAGGGCTGGAGTGCTGGGAGCATACTGCACCAGAAGCAGCAGATCCACTCCCACATCCTTGCACATGTAGATGCGTGTCTAGGGTGGGTTTACTCTAGAGCTCTTGTTTTATAAGAGAGTTTCATGTATCTCCATTAAGAGATGGGTTTAAAAATTACTGTTAAATGTGGTGGAAAGTCCCATAGGAAGGAATATGATTAAGAAAAGTTTAGGAGTTTAAATAAAACTCAAAGCTAGGGAATACGAATAAAGATTTTATGTTATCCTCAGCTCTCTCATGTACTATGTGCCACATACACAATTGCTAAGTGACCTTAGACTGTTGAAGCAAAAAAAAAAAAAAAAGAAAGTTAAATGTTGAGAGAAGCTCTGGATGTTGTGTGTCAGAGGATGCTGGGGTTAGTACTCTAAGATGTGCCAGCTTTTTGTCTGTGTCCTACAAAAAGTGCCTAAGTAAATTTTTCAAATCTATTTTAAGTCAGCTCTCACACTGCCAGTATTGATTAGCAGTTTACACTTCAGTGCTAGCTGTCATGCCTTGGGCCTGTGCTATGACCTCTGTGCATCTAAGGGATCAAAGACTAGCCACCAAACAGCTGATAACTTGAGTGATTTTGCTCTTGGCTCTTCCGCCTCAGCCACTATGGAATCCATGCATAATCTGACACTGCTCTATAGACTAGCTGAGGACCATGACACAGGCTTCTTTTGTCATTACTGTTTGGTTTGCTGAACTCCTAGCATAGTGAATGGTACTTTCATAACCCATCAACCACTATACCGTGCACTATACTCTAGCAGTGGGTGTTTGTAGGCTTTGACTGTCGGGAGACCAGGTTGCCTCACTGCAGATCACGATAAACATATTACAGAAAGCCTTACAGAACCTAAACATGAAGGCGATTGCTCAGCAACTTCTTCCCTCTTTTTCTTTTGTTTCCTCACCTGCAGAGTATTTAGTGAGGGAAAGATGGGAGGATGAATCTTTGGACAGTTCCTATTTTAGCTCTTGCTTCTTTTATCTGGGTTAAGCAATCCGCCCACTTGCAAAGAGAAAAAAAATAATGTTGGTGCTCTCTGCTTATCTAAATATTATGACAAGAGTCCCATGGTGTGCAAAAACAACAGTGTTAGCAGCTCCAACCACTGACTCATCTTTCAGAAAGAAGTGCTGTGGGGCCCAACACAAAGAACTGTCGTCCAACTTAAAAGACCCAAGGTTGTCAAAAGGGTGTCACAGCCACATTTCTGACTTCTAGGAATTTGCAAAACATGCTGGAAACAGCTAAGAGAGGCAGAAATTCCAATTCTTTATCAAACCAAACCCAGGTTTGGCCTTCACTTTTTCTCTGGTTACAGGTCTCTATTTTCACGCACATCAAGACAGGGAAGGTCCCTAAGAATGAGTTCGCTTTTTGTAAAATTTTGTTGTACTCTAAGCAGAAGTGTCATCTTAACCAAGCAATTTGGTGCTTTCTTCCTGTTCTACTGGATACAGGTTAAATCATTCTTAAACAAATAATTGATAAGGAATAATCCCCCAAACCAAAACCCAGATATAAGTAACCTGATGAGAGATGGGGCACGTCAGAAGTGGAAGCTGCAGCACAGAACCTTCCAATCTGGTCCTACACAAAGCAAAGCCCCTCACCATCCAGTCCCCCAGAAGACTGTATTTTGGGCTGGGTACAGCATATACAGGGGCATAACATCTTCTGCACAGGCATCCTGGTCTTCAGAAGTTATCTATGCTATTTCAGCAGTGTCAGAGACCCTCTGCATCTACAGAGGGTGGGACAGGGTTTGGACCCAAAAGCAAGAACCACTTTGTTTACATGATTTTTCTTACCTTCTTTCTATTTTCTCTGCTTTCTTTCTGGAATGCCCTAGTAAACTTTGGGGAGCAAGTGTTTAGGGGAACAACCAAGGAGTGAACCTCACCTGCACTGCTTTGCATCATTCTGATCCTCTTCCCTTTTGGTCTCTTTTCTTCCTCTTCCCCATCAGGACCCCCTTGCTCAGACCAGCCTGCCCATTCCATCTGGTCCCCCTCTTATATCCTTGTTCAGCTCTTGTCTGTGGCCAGGACATTCAAAAAGTTAGGTAAGTTTACTATCCCAGGTTCCACCTAATTTCAGGCACTGCCATTTTGAAAATGTTGACCTATGTGCCTTTCACTATGCTGTACCTCAGGCTTATAACAATCTCTCCATGTTGTATAGCAACTAGGTGTTTTATTCAGATTTTGGTTGAAAATATACTTCTCTTGTGAGATAGTTCAGCAAGACTCCACCAGAGGAAAAAAAAATCTGTTTCATGTTGAGACTGTGCCTTCACATGGTTGAGGAGTACTATGCCTGACCTAAGCCCATGGGAATAAAAAGCATTTTTTCCTTTCTTTTGTACAGTCCTGAGCACCAGGGGCAGATGCACAGAAAGGTCAGGGAGTCAGTCAGCTTTCCCAGATGTTCCCACCAATTAGTTAATGTATAGGCTCCTCCAATCCACAACTTCTTCCCCTGCATGACTGTTTCCTTCTCTCTTGCTCCAGGGACCTCCACAAACAACATTTCTGGATCTGTGCCTGCTGGAAACACAGCCAACTTGCTGATTGTTGCCACAGAACAAGAGCTGGTAAGTCACTGTTCCAGCTAAACTAATTTTTCTGGTATGTTGTTGAGATGCCTTAATTTAAATGACCTTGTAACAGCCCATGGGACTAATTTGCTTTAAGCTGAATATTCCCCACCCTCGGCAAGGGAAATTTTGTTTGAATGTCCTTGAATTCCCTGAAAGTACAGGAACCTACTCTGCCATGCAGCTAAACTAAACTTTTGGGTATCTTCCAAGAACAGAACCTGACCTCTGATGCATACGACTGTCGTCCTGCATTGCAAAACCCTTTGCCTTCAGCTGTGAACTGCTTTATTACTGATCACTCCTTAGCAGAACTACAAGGCAGGCTCAGATCAAACCCGTGTGATATAAAAACAGCAGGATAATGGAACAAACTGCACAGGTGAGTTGCACGATCTCCCTCACTGGAAGTTTTCAAGGCAATTGTCTAGGATGAATTAGGAATGGCATATTCTGCATCCATACAGGGAGCTGGGCCAGGGGATTCTGAAGGTCCCTTTCAACCTAGTGATTCTATTTTATAATTTTGTCAGTGATAGCCTTATGTAACAACTTGATCTAACAGGTTTTCTTGGTTTTCAATTCACAGCCATCTCCACTTAGAGCTTGAGCCTGTACACTTCACACAAGCAAAATTCTTTCTTGCTATGTATGCATATTTTTCTTGCATTGATTTCAATGAAAATTTGCCTCAGAAAGATATAGATTGTCAGGCACATACTGTAAATGTCAATGATTGGCATAAACAATGACGAAAACATAATGTAATTTCATAGGCCAAGTTGTGGCCTGTGCCTGTGCTGTTCTGTGCAATGGTGAACCAGTATACACATGAGATATCTCACTGAAATCAATGATACTTCTCATGTGACTACTCACTTGCTGATTTAAGTAAAGGCATTGCTATCTGTAAAAACCACAGATACATAAAATTAGCTTATTATTGTACTTAAACTGCCTGGAACCAAAACTACCTTTTGACTGTGTATAGTAGACCCCGATCCTTGATATAACACAGGTAAAAATAATAGTAGAAGGAATAAACTTAAAGTTGGTGCTAAACTTCTAGAACCACAGCAAATGCCACTAATTACTAGAAACAGCAATTATTAGAAGCCAACAGCACTTGCCAGTACCTCCATAAAACAACATTTAATAAGACTGCCAAACTCTGGTTAATAGACCCATGCAGCAGAATTACTTCCTGATGTTAGAGAAGGTGACAGTAAGTCAAAGTTAGTGAAGAGGTTATTAAAAGAGCCTTGCGAGGTACCTTGCTTGCCCTGGCACTGATTACATTCTACCTCACTGTCACCTAGATACCCATACATATTCAGTATCTACAGTTTACACTCCTCCATTAGGGTGCATTATCATTCAGTACAAACCCAAGGTGATTCAGAATTAAGAAACCCCAAATGAGGGAGTTAGGGAGTGATTTACTCAGTTTACCTTTTTTTAAAAAAATCATTATTTGGGCCCAAATGCAGTAAATACTTGTAAACTTTAGAAAGTAAGTAAAGGGGACTGCTTGCTTAGGCAAAACTATGTATATCTTTCACAGGTCTCCGGCCTTAGCTTTTGCTTTTAGTTTTGCATGTTATGGTCCTCCTATGGTGAAATCAATGGAACTATGCTAATTTATACCATCTGAGAACCGGACAATATTTTTTGTAGGTTGCTAGTCAAATCTCTGTAGTTTTCCGAGTATATTATGAATATCAAGTACTGCTAGCAAGAATATCATGAATATTTTAAACAGAAAACTGGTGTTCAAAAACCTGTGGAACTAACATTTGTAGAGAAATAGAGAAGACTACAGATTAGCAGCAGCAACAGCCAGATATATTTTTGCCATAACAGTTGATGCAATCTTGTCAAGTTATAGTATGATGCTGAAAAAAGCAACTATAGGCTTCCAGACAGAACTTTCCAAGTAAACAAATCCATCCTAGCCCCAGCTGTCAGTTCATGTCCAAATGCTTATGAAGTAAGTTTGGCAACTCTTATAATACCATCAAATCATGATTGTGCACAAAATCTTTGGTGCAAGGCACTACATATATCTGCACACTTTTATTTCTTAACAAATTGTATTTAGCAGCACAGAGTGAAATTTAAAGTTGCCTGTTTGCAGCAACCATTTCAATTGTATAAATGAAGTAAAGAAACCACTGATGTCCTTTTCCTCTTTTACTCTACACCTTATACACTACATGCACTATCCAGTGCCTTAGCTATGTCATAACAATACCAGCAGCTATTTTTGCATGTGTTTTTTTCAGAATCAAAGACACAGTATAGTCCCTACATACAAGAAAAGTAAATAAAAGCCGTAATGGCAGTTCTTTCCAACCACTCCAAAATAAAATGTAAGTGCTGAGTGTTTCACTATTTATCTTTTTAAAAAACTAAACCAACTTTATTAAGTTAAAAATACTATCTGTGTAAGCATCTGCAGAGTCATAACAAGTTAACAGATTTGAAGTATGGCAAAGAAGAAGTTTAAAGCATGCAGATCTGAATTACCTTATTGTTTCTGAAACAAGAAAATTAATGTTGAAAAGGAGTTATGTCCTTGACTAAGCCTTAATTCAGAAAACCCCCAGCAGCATTCATCTCCCTTCTCTCCCTGGATGGCTCGATCTACTGCAGGGCAGCTTTGAAACACTCTCTCTTTGAAGCCTGGAGTTTATTTCTGGATCACCCCATGATCAACGAATACAAGCCAAAATATAAGTTGTTCTCAATCTCAGATTTCCTGTTTGAACATACAGTGGAAAAATGTTTGCCCATCCTTAAGTCCCTCTTTGTTGCATTAATCTGTAAAACTTCACTTCATCAAGCATCCTGTAGCTAAATGACACAAAGTTGACCTTTCTATTACATCATTATTTATTGTCTCTGGCAAGCAGACCATATATGGGCATGTTTCTGGAACTTAAAGAAAAAAAAAGAAATTGCAATATAATTTTGAAATAAAGTATATTGTCCTGGAGGGTTTCAGTATTTTGGAGGAAAGCCAGAGGTAGATTTTCTATGTACCTATTTTTCCTGTAGCTGCTGCCAATTAAATGGAGTAGGGCAAAAATCAGAGTGGATGTTTGTTGATGTTTTATAGTGCTTTGAGATGCTATGGACTCTGAGACTTTAGAACTTCCAAAATACAACAAAATACTTGTGAGATAATTCCATACAGTGTTTCATAAAGACTTACTGCTCTTACATCATGTAATCAGGAAAGAAAAGCCCTTTCTGTGGTATATGTGACATCGTGGCCATCTTCCTTGTATCTGGGCTGCACAGTGAATTCAAAGAGGGATAACACTGATTCAGGAGTCATCTGAATAAAGAGCAGATGGACACAGAATAACTAGGAATGTATACATTAATTAGCATTAATTAGAATAACTGGGGACGTATACATAAATCCACAGAGCTAGGCTGGCTGGAAGAAGAAAAACAGCACTTACCTTAGGCCAAGAAGGATCACTAATTATTTGTCCAGAGGATGCCAAGTTGCAGTGTATGGTGGGGAAAGGCATGCTTCAGACTCTGCCAAGATCAACACTCCTTCTCCCAGCATTTACTAGGCTAATTCCATTTGCAAACCAGAGATAGGTGGGCATTAGGGGTGTGTGAAGTGGGCCATATTCAATTCCGATTCAGATTTGGCCCAAATCGGGGACAGTGATTTGATTCATTGATTCAGTTCACTGTCCTCAATTCGATTTGGCCAAATATGAAGCTGAAGATTTGATGCTGATTCAGAGAATCAGTGATTTGGCCATAGGCATGGCTTTAAATTTGTTTGCTACATACGTCAAGGTACCAGGCGTGGCTTGTGAATGCTGTGATGCTGGGGTGGATGGAGTGTCCCACAGCAGTGCAGGAGGGATCCCCGCATGCTCGGCAGCGAACCCAGCAGTACTTCTGGTCCAATTCTGGGTCCGCCAGGGAGCATGCAGGGGGGGCCCAATGCATCCCTCCGGCTCAGCGATCAGCCACGGAGGGACTTCAGATGCTCTGCCACACCCAGGAGGCACCAGTCACCAAGTCAGGAGGGCACAGGTGGCTCCCCAGCGGGCTCCCTAGCAGACCCAGAAGTGGACCAGAAGTGGTTCTGGTCCACTTCCGGGTCTGCTGCCAAGCGCGCTGGGGAGCCCCCCACACCCCTGTGAGACACTCTGTGCGCCCCAGCATTGCAGCACTCACGAGCCTCCTGCTACCTTGAGGTATGTAGAAAAAACATTTAAAGCTATGTCTATGTCCGAATCGTCAAATCTCTCTGAATCTCTCTGAATCACTTCAGAGGCTCCCGATTTGATTCGGAGAGGTTAAAGGGTTTCCTGATTTGATTCGGATTCGGAGATTCGGCCACCAAATTGGGCCGAATCTTCTGCCAAATCACATCAGAGATCGAAGCTTCGCACAGCCCTACTGGGCATATACCCCAGATCAGTATGGAGCTTTCCTTCATCTGAACCTGCATTATTGGTCCTCAGCCTGGTGGATATTATGCTGTTGGAGCACAAATACTCATCAGCTTATGGCTCAGTGCTGATGATCATAAATGGAGCCAATTTAGCAGTATCACACTATTAATCCACACTGAGTTACTATCCTTTATGACTGCTGGGTGTTAGTGCTGAACTGCTCTAATACCTGTTTCTGTTCGTATTTGAAGTATTCTACCACTGATGCTGTCAGGGAGAGAAGCTATTGCTGCAGGTGCCAGGATGACTGAAAGCTCACATTCCTTTGACACTCATCTTAGGAACCTGCTCCACACTTTCAGATATGAAGAGAACTGTCCATGTGCCAATCCACTCTTCTGTGCAGAACAGGGGCACAGCTGCTTCATCCCCCCTGCCCATAATCTTTGTCTTGGGTCCTTGTCTTTGTCAAAGGTTGAGGTAGCTCGGAGTGGGAATGGCTGGAGAATGGAATTCTGCAGGCCATGGTAGAACGTAGATCATTCCGCATTCAAGCCACACACTCAGGGAATACAGGAAGGAGGATCCATCAGAGATACAAAGCTGGTGTAGAAACCTGGGACTCCAGTAGGCAATTTTGGAATCCCACAGATTCTCTTAAGCCCAAACAGACCCCAGAGAATCCATAGGGTCTGTGGAGTTAGGGTACAAGTAGAGAGAACGGTCAGTGAGAACCCCATGGTGATCTCGACCCCTCTCACCCGCTCTGAAGGTGCTGGGGCTCCTGATTCCACTGCCCAATGTTAGGGCCAGACGTGGCAGCTAATAGTCAGAATTTAAACAAAGGGAAACCTCTACTGCAGAGCAGTGCTGGGAACAACCGGTTTGGAAAAGTGCTTTAATATTAGAAATGGCTCACCCTTTGCTTTAGCAGTGCAGTTTCACAGCAGTTTGTCTTCAGTGACTTTCCCTACCAGCACTAGAACCAACCTGTAAACAGAACACTTCATTGCTTCATCCTGGATAAATATTCATAAATGCAATACACTTTTCTTACTAGCTTTGGGGATTTTGGTGGCAAAGGGGTCAAGGTGTCTTGCTGTGACTCCAAGGACCTGAAATCAAGACCTACTTGAGACTAAGGTCAAAGGCTACACCTCAGTTGACATAGTTACAAACCTAGTTATTTGGGCTGGAAAGATAAGGACTGGATGTGACTTTGGCCCAATCACAGCCTTGTGGGCTACTGATTAAGAAAATGGACCTTTAGGCTCAGGAGGACCCTTGACTTGACTCCTTTACTGGTCTTAAACCATGCAACGTATAAAGACACAAATGGCAGGATCAAGCCTTACTTAATATTTGCAAAGTATTGCTGTTACCTCAGGTGAAGGTACTTTGGAAGTTCAAAGCTTCCAAATATACAGATATAAAATGAGATAAATTTGTTTTTATTTTTCAACAAAATAAAGCTTTACACATCCAAAGCATAATAACCATCATTTATTAGCATTACAGAAAAAATCACTAATATTTTCTCAAGAACATATCCAGTTATAGATCTTAATTTAGTGCTTTTTAATCCTAAAATATTTTCAAAAGATTACAAACTGGCATCTGCAGAAATAAATACATAAAGTCATGCCATTTTCTGGGACAGTGTTTACTCTGATGCTGCATATTCGTATCAGTTTGCTTTCCCTTTAAATAGAAAAACATTGCCATTAGCCAACTCATGCTGGCAGGGGGAAGAATCAGCTGGGATCTCAGGAACAGGGTTCAGAAAGGGGGAACTGCTTCTGGAGAAAGAGGAAGAGAACGGAACAAGTGAGAAGAGCAATTTGCTAAATGAATGACAAAATTCTTTGTGTTCTTCCTACTTCCTCCAAATTTGCCACAGAAGTTGTTTTATAAAATCATCTTTAACCTTTGCTTCAACTTTCAATTTTCTTGTATGTTCTTGTTTTAACTAATCAGTTCCCTTAACCACCAGTCTTCTTCAGAAACTATGAGTAAGGACCCAGCTAAGAAGTGCGGAAATAAACTTTGTTCACAGGGCCCACCAGACTAGAAAACATTGTATCAGTTAATTCTAGGTGCAATGTCAACAAGTAAAAATATTTTTGCTTTTTTCCTGGTTAAATGCCTTCATATACTCTTCCTATTCATGCTGATACCAGTATTAGTGATACCTAAACCAAGCTGGACCATTAGCACCACTGAGGATAGGTGCAAACATTAAACTTTTAGCGGTATAAGTGGTCAGAATCTGGTCTATATCCATAACAGAAGTTTGGCACACAAAGACAAGATTTGCCCCACCACCAAAGGGCGAAGGTGTGTTCTGTTCACTACAATTTAGACTACATCATTTACAGAAAACTCTGTAACTTAGATTGATTCCGCTTTAGGCTTTTTGAATGTCTGTACCTAGCCTGAGAGAGCAAAAACATGATGAACAGATGCAACTGACTTATTGTCCCTCAAAGAAACTGTGCTTCCAGCAGGAAACCTAACCACTTCATTTTAGCCCACTGTTCAGATGTTATAGCTATACAGTATATGTAGGAAGTGAATGGTGAAAGACAAAGGGAATATGAGATGCAAAAAGATCTAACAAGGGAGACCTCTTACATTATGCACTGGCAGAACAGCTGTCTGCTTCAGCTTTCTGCTTGATGTGACTTCCTTGTGGCAGTTTAAGCAGAGCATTTACTAAAACTCTTTCACTTCCATAGCACCCACAGTGATATTCGGAAGTGCGAGGCTGCTCGCTGGTTACCTACAGCTCTTCTAAAATCGTGTACATTCTTTAAGTGCGATGCAATTTAGATACCCTATTTCACCGAGAAAACAGGTATACCCTTGCCTTTGCCATACCTTTGTCATAGTCCTTTCTCTGCATTTGATACTAGTTCCTACTCCTATTCATGTTAATGTCACATCTCTCGTCAAATTCTACTGGCTGCTGGTTTATATTGGTTGTACTGGTAATATTTCACTGCCAGCACATGTTCCTCCAGATTAAGTGCAAATGGGAAAAAAAACAAATGCAGCTCTCTGGCCCCCAGCCCTTCATCTCAACACACACAGATATCAGATTCTTTTAAATTTAAAAAACAAACCTATGATTTTCAAGAGGTCATCAGATTGTTTTAGATGGCTTTTTAATTGCATGTCATTTGAAAAATGTCTGCCTTCTATTTAATGTTCATTGTTACTTATAAAACTTAAAAATGAACTTTCATGTTTAAAGAAAGGTTGCACTGCCTGT